CCCGCGTCGCTTCATGATGGACGGCCCACCCTTCGCCGTGCACGGTGACTCCCACCAATTCCGGGAGCAATACCAGCACCGCTTCGACGACCCGACCCAGGGAGCCTCGAGCGACAGCTGGCTCATCGCAGCCATCTTCTCCATGTTCTGGGCGAATCCCGCCATGATCAACCGATCCACGCGGATGGCGATGACAGGACCCATGGACCACGGGCGTCGCACCCTGGGCGTCCGCTTCCACGACAAGGGCGGCCGTAACAACGCCGACACGGATACCGTCGAGGTCGACTACCAGATTCCCGTCAACAACTCGACTGACATGCCCATCTACGCGCGCTCTAGCGACGGCTACGAGACTTGGCCCGCGCTCTACGAGAAGGCCTTTGTCAAATGGATGACGCGTTCCGAGGATCGCGGCCGCGTCGACATGACGCAGGCTCACAATGGCGACCCAATCAAGGCCAGTGCGTAACTGTTGTCCATCCATCCATTCATATTCAATATTCAATATTCAATATTCAATATTCCTTTTTCCCCTCCCCCTTTTCTGCCCCCTCCCCCCAAGACCAGCCTAACCCCCTTTAGATATATTAATTGGAAAGAAGAAAAGCAATAATAATATAATACCTAATCATACTAATAAACAGCCGCTAATGACATAGCTAATTAATATACAGTGGCCCAAATCAATGGCCGCGAGCCTCGTTATTACTTCACCGACCGCCATTCCGGGTCCGAGCTCGTGGGCCTTGTGCGCTCCTGCAGCGTGAACAAGCGCACTATTAGTCCCATGGCTGCGTGGACGCACGCCACAGGAGACAGTACGTAGAATGTCCCGAGTTTCTTTTTTCTTGTATCGGGTCGGTCTCGCAGAATCCTCGGTCGACGAGGCGGTGGCGGGTTTCGTCCGAGAGAGAGAGAGAGAGAAAGAGACAGGCTGGCACTAAATCCCGATGTCATAGTGTTCCGCGGAAGCAATTTGGTTGCCAACCATGCGTACTCGGTCCTGGGCTGGGTCAGCGAGGGCCAGGAGGAGAACGTGCGTACTTTTATATATCCCCTTTTCTCAGCTCATCTCGAGGGGTATATCTTGGCAATATACCTTTCTAGGCGAGCTAACTAACTGGAGAGCTATTGTTTTCGGGACGTTCCCGAGCCACTCAAGTCCTTCTGTAGTATAAGTACCTACCTACCTATCTAACTCTGACGACAGCAGTACATCATCGTCAGGAACCCGTGGGGCGTCACCGAGCCCCGCGGCCTAACCTCATACCCCGGCCTTCTCGACCGCGTCGAACCCGAATTCTGGCCGCCGGCGGCCCTCCTCGATCGTGATGGCGTTTTCAGCGTTGAGGTCCAGGCGTTCAAGAAGTACTTCGCCTGCATCGGGGTTGCTAAATAAGAGGCTCCGATGATCGGACAGTCTGGTGAACCGTCTCACGACATCTTTGTGGGGTGATTCGGGTTTCAGCTGCGTGGGACGGCTCTGTGCCTGTGTGTTTGCAGTGGGTTTGTTGGGGCCTGGTTTGCATTGTAGTTTATCTAGTGAAGTTTATTGGATTCGCAGATCTTATATATCTGGGACGTGGGAAAAAGAAAAAAAAAGAGGGTTGCTTTCCGGGAAGAAGGAAGAAAAGTTAGGGTATCCAGGCTATAGTCAGATAGATTGGCAATTTATCTAAATAGAGGCTCATGTGCCTACCATGTTCTCCTTGAGCTGATGTGCATCTAAGCTGACGCTAGACCATGTGGTATAAGCATCCCCAGGTAGATATAACACGCCCGTTGATATTAATACGGGGGCCTGGCCGTTATGGTCGATGTATGTAGAATCATAATTGGCCCAATTAGGTATAATACAGGTGGTATCATCTCAACTAGCATCAATACTTACACTGTCTATGCTTAGCCACGTCACCGACTAAGAAACAGGTCCTGCATGAAGCCATTCGTCTGATTTAAAGCCTCAACTACTTCATCACCCATCCCTAGCAAGACATTTGCTATATTGCAAGCCTGAGGAAGGGCCAGCTCAGGCCGCCTTGATGTTGCACTAACGCGCTCTATTTAAGCAGAGGCAGTCCTTGAATCAATTTATAGGTTAAAATACGAGCCGAAATACGGAGCCTCACATTCCTAGTCATCATCCGAGAGGTATAATTCCGTCTATTGATTTACTAGACTGTATTGTGATTGGATTTGGACCACGTGTTACCCTCATATCATCTCAGCTTTACATCTAACATAATTTTTATAAATAGCTTCCTGTCATGTTTGAAATCATCATATCTACGATCCCTTGCCCCACGTATATCCATAAAGGAGATGATATCTACACAAGCAGGCTCTACAAGTCATTTACCAATGGTGACGGCGGATATATCTAAAGGAGAGTGCGTCAGGCATGAATTAGGGGTGGATATGGTCAGTGCTATTCAAGCAAGCTAACAAGAAGATATTCATCAGTCAAGAAGAACGGCGGGATGTGGATCCATGACTGTAGGTCATACGCGGTGGCTGATTAAATCTGCTAGAATGTTCCCTTGGGGACGAGGCTGCGTAGGTAGGTAGGTAGGTAGTTATCTATATAAATAAGTACAGGATGTCCAGCCGAAATTCTACATCACTTCGGCATATGAGTAGCACAACAAGCGCATTCTTCGCCACCACCAAAGTTCTACATAGCTAAAGCTGAGTCTCAACCAAGTTATCTGTGGATCCAAACTTATCTTACCTGCCAGAGCTGACAATCATTCAATGTCAAATACAATCACTTGTTGCGTATTTGTTAAGCATCAAGCTGCTAGTGACTACGTGATAGACGTTTTTTGCTTTAGAATTTAAGTTCTTTCACCTAAGTAATTCTGCGGCAGATTGCATAAAGTTGGAAAGGGCCTGAAGGAATAAATCTGACGATATTTCCATTCCCGTGGACACGTATCGCTTTTTTAGTACATCTCTACTAGCATAATGGGTACGCAGGAGTATTCTGGCCTTGAGGCAGAATTCCTCAATTTAAAGGAAATTCGGGGCCTTCCGCTGGAAAGCGAGAAGAGGAAGAAAAAGATCATCGGTAGATGCAACTGGTACATGTTCTGTGCTTCAGATATCAGAGGGGAGGAATATCAAGACTCCCACGAATTTATTCTTTACTGCTATCAAAATGCCCAGGCAAATTGTCCCCCTGAGCAGATGAAACCAAATACTAAGATCACCGAAAGTCTTGCAAGAGCGTATGTTAAGAATCTTCCACCAACTTTAAGATCAAGCAGGGGATAGTATTATATAAAGATTACTAACATTGAACAGTTTTATTTCCAAGTATTATAAACCATACGAGAAGGACAGCCCTAAATTCTTTGAGAGCTACGATGGCGTAGACGCAGGAGATATACAGAGGACTCTTACCGAAGCTTGGAAAAGGTGGCAAAGCGATAAAAACATCAGGGCTCGTGAGTTCAAACAGGCTATAGACAGCATACCCAACCCAGAGAAAATTGAAAGGGTAGTTTGTTTAGGACTGGGCCGTGTACTTTTGCCAAACTTCCGCTGCAGCGAACAATTCTCAGAGCACAGTCCTGTAAATACACAAAGGCCGCGTAATATCATCATGCCACGAAACATCGCTCAGCACATTGCCGCCATCTCACTAGTTAAGCAGCTGGAGAAGAAAACGAACAACACGATTCCTCTCTACACTGCAGATCCCGAATATGGAGACGAGCACAAGAAAGCGCTCGAGACGCTCCCTTTCGGTAAGTTTACCGTTCTCGACCCAGGATACGGCGTACACGAGCAATTTACGTATATCGACGACAACACCCTGGTTTTCGACATGACCGGGCCGCCGCAATGTCCCACGATGAGGATAATCCAAGAGTTTGCCCGACCGGTGGCGATCATCACCAGGGAGGTGCCCTGCAGGGGAAAGTTCGAGGACAGGCTCTGGTTCGAGGTGCGAGAAGAGAGCGGCAGGGAAGTGCAAATACCGGGCTGCGCGTAAGTCACAACTCGCCCCAGACCGCTTCTCCATATTGCTAACGGGCCCCAGCCACCTGCCACTCCCCGACGGCTGCTTCCGGTTCGGCGGTCCGTTTCCGAGGCGGGTCCGGGACATGATCGTCTACGAATACAGCCAGGAGCCCAGGTTCCCCGCGGAAAAGGAGGCGGTTGCGCGGAAATGGGGCGCGTGCGATCTGGTGGACTACGCCCATCGGGATAAACTAGACGCCCAAGTCGGCGCGTACTGGCATACCGATACTCGTCTGTACGTGCGTAGATCTCGCCCGTCGTACTTCCTGAGGTTTCTCGAGTGGTGCAGTGGTCTGCTACTGAAATACTGAGGCCTACGGGACGTCAGTATAGATACCTAGGTAGATACCTGACTATGATGGCGTTGCTTCTGAAAACAACTTTATAATAATTATTAGGTGGTTTAGTCAGTTTATTTATTTATTTATTTTAGTTAATTTGTGACTATCACGTTGCTTTTAGTTCGGACACTGGGAAACTGTATAGCCAGGCTTCCCCCCTAGATGCAAAATGACGAGGACTGAGTGGTCGACTGAGTAGGTACCTACCTAGGTAGATAAGTTCAAAGTGCTTCCATACGTCTACAGCTTGTGAGTTGCGTTTAGGCAGAAATGCTGATACAACAAATTAATCTTATGCGGTTGGGATTTAAACGTAGAATTCTATTCGAGATACTTTACTTTTCATCTAACTGACTATACAATTACCAACTACTTGTTTCAGCCGTTCATACCACTGGTGTTATAGTATCATTGAATGTGGAGTTTTATCCACACACACAGAGTCCACGCTCTTCGAATAAAACGCTGGGGTTTTTGCATATGATACCACTACGCTACAATAACGCTAAAAAACCGACACGACCGAATTACTTGATTTCTAGGCTAAAAAGAAGAATCCACCAGGCGCTTTGATAAATATCGCGCCAAGTGGATAGGTACCTAGGTTAGGCAAAAGAAAAAGTCTTATGAGAGCTGCAGGATTCGAACCTGCGCGGTTTCCCATCGCGGGTTATACGGTGTTCTTTTGGAAGACCTAAACACGACGCCTTAACCACTCGGCCAAACTCCCATTGGTTGTTAGATGACTGATTGCCTGCAAAGACTGTATTTATACCATGACGGGTTCCGTAGATATAGTGAGTGAGCAGACTTGTCGTGGGATCAGCTAACTAATTAATATTTCGCTCTTTATGAGCCTTACTATTTCATTTCTGGCAAAAATACAATTGATACAATTAGGTATTTAGTTGAACTGTCAAGTACCTAGGTACCTATGTACATATTATTGTAGGGCAAGACATCGATCAACTTTATCTCATGGATCAATCGTGTATTATAAAACTTGGGAACGTGTATCTTAAAATCTTACCAATATCTCGGGCCAGATCGCCCTACTTGCCGGTTTTTTTTTGCCAATACTTTTCCAATTCTATTCAATATTCTACTATACTACTACTTTTACACGGCGTAGAAGCATTTATACGGTCTTAGGTACCTTTGAACAGGTCGACGAAGGTTTCAGTTCGCTTGCAAGCGTCGATTAATTATAAGGTGCAATGGTGCTGGTATATTGATAGAATTTCTAGAATAATTAAGCAACCATGTCTCAAATTAAAATCTTTACATAGACCGATATAATTCCAGACGAAACACTTAGGTAGAACAAAGGATACTTTCAGCAGTTGTATTCACGGGTTCCCACAGCTCAGGTCAAAGTTCCTCGTGGAACAACTTCGTTGTTTCCATAGCTTCTAGGTCCATCTTATGATATGAACCTGGGCCCAGGTCTTTTAGAATCCAGTATTTTTCATAAAGAATGCTTGTCGGCGTATTATCAAGGGGCATTCTACCTATATACTTGTAGTAAAGTAGCCAAGTCCAAGTAAGTTCGTTTTTGAAGATTCTAGGGTCCGTAAACCGGTTCTATAACCAGGAGGAACTAGAACATCAAGTAAGTTTCGGGGCCTATGTTCCTAGGCGGCATGGAAGGTTTAAATAAGGACATAAGGTCCTAACTCAAGAGCACAATCGTGGCCGTTATTAAATATCTAATCACCTTCGACTATTAATGACCATATGTGAGATTTTTTTGCAGCTATATCGTTTTACCTCAAGGCCTAAATATAAACCATATGCCCCCAAGTCACTTTAATCAACATGGTAATCGAAGGAATTATCTCGGTACTTTTCATATTCTTTTCAATTATGATAAGAATGTATTGCAGAGAGGTCCCCAAGGCTCCCGCTCCATCAATATACAATTCAAAAGTTCCTCCACGGGAACCTTCGTCTGTTCAGCCACTCGCTACCGAATTAAAGTCAACTAGCATCACCAGAATGGCAGCATTGCTAAGCCATATCACCATCAGCTTCGATAAAAACGAGATGCGGAAACGCCCCCAGAACGTTTGGCAACTAGGCCGTGGCTCTACACACGCCGAAATAATGTCTTTGATTCAAGTCCTCAAGAAAACCTCTTTTCCCGTTGACTATTTCGCCTTCCTTCAACTCAACGATCTGTCAAAATTTTTCACGTATCAGAATGGGCCGCTCTTACAATTTCACAACGTGAAAGGAGTTAGATGGGACGAGACTGGTCTTGAAACCCGGGCCTTTATGGAATGCCTGATCGGAAAACCTGCTATCAACGCCGTCATCTCGGAGATAGGATGCATCGAATCCCTTATGCCCCTATTGCGTACGCTACACATAGAGGTATCGAATCGAGTGTGCCTCGTCGGACCTGAAGACTGTCGGCGAATAGCTGAATTCTGGGAGCCCTTACTGGCCCACATGATTGTATCCGATAATGTTAAGGCGGAAGCTTCTCGCCATTTCAAGGAGCACTTTGGATGCATTTCTCCGTTCGTGATGATGAAATCCCAGCGAAGTTGGATCGTCCTAGAAAACAATATAAGGAAGACAGGCACTCGGATATACCCAAGCTTTTCGCACTATTTAGTAGAATTAGCAAAAATGGAGGAACTACAAGCGGATAAGCGCAGCATCAGGCATATAGAAAGACAGATTGCTACCTCTGACCGTCAAATGTGGACGCCTATCCTTGCGGTAGAAACTTGACAGCCACGTCCTGATAAAAGGACTTACCTAGGTTAGATCATCGCCTCCTTGTTACGGGGGTCACGCCAAAAGTCCATGGAAATCGGTAAACCTACGAATCGAAACTCCTTACTACTAACCATGTCGCACTGAATATATGGACATGAAAGCAGCACTTGTTACTATTACACTTTAAGATAAAACTTAACAAATATTAACTATGCTATGGTACTGTGCACTTACTACTACATACTGAGGCACAATACATCTAACATTGTCTGATGGGATAATGAGAACGCTCGAAGAAGTATGGTAAAAAATAAAAATAAAAATAAAAATAAAAGTAAAAATTGAAGGTCATATCTTAGGAGGAAAGGTAATGCAATCCCGAGCTTTAAGTCGGAAACCTTTACTATTCTACAATAGAGGAGTATGCTCCTGTAGAGATATCCTAATGCAAGGCCCATATGAAATTATGATAGTTTCCATTGAAGTAACTTGCTTTGACTAGAAATAAACCTACGCATCGATACAATCGATAGTTCAGTTCTGGGGAAGCAGACGGCAAGAGACGACACCACAGTTGCGTCTGGGGTAAAGTGTGGTTACTCCACCAAGAGCCGTGGCATTCCATCGATTCGTGACCAAAGAAATGGAGATTTGCAGTTTGATCGACCGCACAAGAGTGGGAAGAGGGATGGCATGGCAGTTTAATGGCTGTGAGGTAGAGATGCAGTTGAATTAGTTGGCGCCATAATAAGGTGTCGGGTAGCCATGGTGCGAAAGTAGTAAGCAAAGACGCAACGGCGGTTATTCGAAGGCATGTTGCTCGTTAAGGGGGAATAATGGAATATTTGAAGTAACGCTGTTTCCATTGCGTCTACCTACCTGCTACATTAACTTGAAATCATCATAGGACATACGTACTCATATCTCACGTAGCAAGCATATGCAACAAATATTAGGGCTGCGTATAAGGCTAGGTTGCAGTTGAGGCATCTGACGAGATTTCCAGGTTGAAAATATTAAAGAGCAGACCCACGACGGATAATTTTATTAGTTTGAGCTATAACACCTAATAACCGATCGCTTGTCTCGGCATTGCTATATTGAGAATATGCACGGACGGAGTAATGGATACTGGGCAGTCATTCGGTGGTTGAATGGCTTAAGAAAATAAAAAAGATTTCCCAAAAGTTTCTGGTCACGACGTGATCTCCTTTTACTTACCGCTTAATGGTCAACTGACCCGAAAGTAACATAACCTGCCCAGCCCATCGTGGTCCTCAAAACGTTGCGCTATGTAGGTATGTATGTATGTATATAGAGGGTCGAGGGGAGAAACGGCAGATCGACGAGCGCCATCTAAATTCGGCCAAGCCGAAATCTGAAAAGTGCGAACCCTCTTCTCTTTTTTTCTTCTCCTGCTTGTTACAAAACTCCACATTTGTGGATGGCTGTCCTAGATTCCTATGCGGTTTGAGGATGAAGCGGCACACAAATATTTTTTTATCAATATGTAGGTATGTATGCATGTATTAGCCAGCCGAGTAGTGGTTCATGATTCATGGTTTATGGTTCCTTGGTATCATCCCTCGGAGATGCACATACCGTCGCAGCAGTTCGCTTCAGCTGGTAAAATAGAATGCTATCGACAGCACAGCAGCACAGAAGTAGGTAAGTCAGGCATAGCTTGGACATGCTCGACATGGCAAATCGCCTATTAGAATATAAGCGTATGGCGAGATTCGGTCCTTGATTGATCTCAACCGTCGCTAACCAATCAAAGTGGTCAGGCTTTAGATCTATTGGTTGACGAATTGTAGCGGCTCTTTTCGATCAACGCCCGTACCTGCAGTGGACTTACATGGAGGACTGAGGATTGGTTGATCTCTCATAGGGTGTATATCTAATACACGTACAGCATGACGTTTGCCAGGCCTTTGTTCCTTTCTATGAGTTCTATGAATACTATGAATACTATGATTCTATGAATAGGTACTGTCCAAAAGCAGAAGCGAGACCACTTACACTACACCACCACCACCACCACCCATTGCACCACCAAGAACCCATTCTTGCCCATCCTGCACGAATCCCTGTCTAGCGGCGAGGGAGCAAACTATGGGGTAATAGTTAGGTACAAGAAACTCCTCTGCAGGTCTCATGATGCCTTTACCTAAGACCCGATTTCGTAACTACATCGACTTCTGCCAGCTTCTGCCCGTCTGAGAACTCCTGTTAGCTAATTCCTTGCTAATGGGATCCATCACGCGGTTACCCCAGATTCCACTCGTACATGTTACTAGACATGTTGCCCTTACGATTTGGTCCAGCCAAGACGATGGTTTTTCCTCTACCAGCCCTGGGAAGCAAAAAATAACAATTCGACTGGACCATGTTGTCATCTCCACGCGACGAGCTGCGCCGGCAACCTCGCCTAGCGCTTCACACAAAGGCTTGCGTGCGCCGCGTGCCTTATGCCACCTCCTCGGGGCCATGAAAATTTTTTCCTCAATGGGATTCTACATATGTAGGTAGGTAGGTATTCTGCTCTAGGATCGAGTACGTAGTTACGTATCGTGGCCGGCTTTGTTCCTAAACTCTGCCTTCTGGTGCCACGTGCGACAAACCTGGAACTTTCTCGAGAACTAACTACGGTGTAACTTGTAACTTATGACAAAGGGGTTGCTCCCCTGGTCCTCACGATAAAATTTATGTATATTAGCCCGTGCCCTCCATCCCACTGAACTGACCCATCGTGAGAATCTGTTATGCTATTTTGCTGCCACCATTCAACCTAAACGCTTCCCAACGGAAACAACATCCACCCAAGCTCACAAATAGTCCAAGATGCCTGACCTCACTATCACCGAGCCTCACCCAACCGTCCCGAAGAACTCATACACCCACTCGGGACGAGGCGGCGCTGGCAACTACTTCCGCGCCCCTAGCACCACACCCTCGTCCGGCGTAGCGACAAAGCCGACATCAGTGCAGCACACCACA